TATACCAGAGGTGTGTACGTTAACCCGTATAACCCGTGTACCCACTTTCAAACCAAATTTCAGAATATAAGGGCTGTACACCGCACGGATGAGAAACGAATATCCAGCTGATGATCGAGTTTCAAATTTTCTTTTTATAATCACTAATAGTAAATGTTAAACGAAAAAAACAAGCATTAATAAATAAACTCAAAAACATTGATAAACACTGTCTTTTCTTAAAAATTTATTGGAACAATGCTTTAGCTGTTTTGGCTCTTTCAGTTTTACGAAGAAAAATGCACCGACACTCGACACAAAAATGATGCAAGTGATTTATAAATCATGCAATTATTCAAAATTTCTACGAATACCAATACTGATCAAATGGAGATCATTCATTTTAGAGAAGTACATTCATTGATTCCCACCACTCGAGTATATGCTTTTATTTAAAAATGTGTACCAACTCTTGTGACCTTGATTCATTAGTACTGGCACTCGTTAACGAAAATACTAATAAATCATATCTGTGGCAAATATGGATGCGTATAAGTAGTATATGAGAAAAACATTTATACGCATTTATACTTGGTTATTATGCGTGTGGTCTGAGTGTTAAAATTATAACTCGCTGCAGTTCTCTGATGTAGAAGGAATGCGGTTTCAATAAAATTATACCACAAGCCACATACCACGTTGCATCACATACCACGTCGAAAATTCGGTTTGAGAATGGAGAACTACTATTAGAATAGTTCTAAAGAATTGACAATTTAAACCGATTTTTACGAATGTTCTAAGCATAATATGAGTGGCAGTAAAAATTATTCTGAAATCTTTTTGCTTATTTAGCAGTTCATGAAGGATAAAAACATTGTGGTGTTCATGCTGACACTTTTATTTCGTTCGAATATACTTAACGATACAAACTTATTTGGCTTTGCAATTCCAACTGTTGTTGGAATTAAAGCTGTTACTTTATCAGACGAGTAAAAATACATGTATGCATTTAAAATATCAAGTGCATAATATTAAAGGGAACAACTTAAAAAAGGTGGAATAAAGGTGAGAACATTGTAGTTAAATAAGTCCATCTTTCAATTGATATCATCTGTTCTCGGTTGTATATAGCCTTTGTAAGACACGAAAAAGCTAAAAAATTTTAACATTATAGGTATTCACTCTCTTATAAACTCATTGCACCGTGCGCGAAATACACAGATTGAACCAGCTTGCAATTACCAACATCAAAATACACGCACAGTTTCTTGCAATTGTTTGTATTCTTTCTTTACCTAAACCCACGTATATATGTATGCTACAACAAAACAAAAATGAAAAACATCAGGTGTTTTGGCACCTGTTGCTTCTCATTTTTGAATTCGAATTTGGTGGCGAAGTTTGTTGAAATATTTGTTTGTTAAAATTTTGATTGTTTAAAATTTTCTAATAATCGTCAGATAAAATTTAATTATACGAGGGCGGTTTGCGAAGTCAGTGACTTTTTGAATAAAACAAATTTTTTTCGGCAAATAAACATTTTATTTTTCTACATAATCACCTTTTAGCTCGATACATTTAGTCCAGCGTTTTTCTAATTTTCTTATTCCCTCCAAATAATAGGTTTTCTCAAAGCTCTCAAAATCCTCGTTTGTTTCGGTAATGACTTCTTCATTCGACTCAAATCTCTTACTGTCCAGCCGTTTCTTTAGGTTTGGAAACAGAAAATAGTCACAGGGGGCTAAATCTAGAGAATATGTTGGATGGGGTAGCAGTTCGTTATCCAATTCGTGGATTTTGGCCATCGTGACTAGACAAGTGTGCACATGTGAATTGTCTTGATGGAACATCACTGTTATGATCTATATCTAGTCTGATACAGATTTTAGCTAATCCGGCACTTGAACCAGCTTAGCTTTACTCTTTATGTTATCCTCCGTACCTAGTCTGATACGGATTCACTAATCCGGCACTTTAACCAGCTTAGTAATTCATTTACGCAATCCGGCACATGAACCAGTTACGTAATTTATAAATAGCTATATATATATGTGAATATATATATAGGTATTTTTTTATTTATTTTATTATTTATTGATTTTCAAATTCGGCACATAAACCGACTTTGCTCAAGGTTCTTTTAGGCACTTAAACCAAAAGAAAACACTTGGTTGAATTCAGGTTTTGAAATTGAATTAGATGTTTATTAAAAATGTTGTGCTTTTATACAAAATTCGTAACACTAAGCTTATGGTAAAGGAGGAAATGCACCTAGTTCCCTCGATTTGTTATCCGATGGACTTTGAACATTCAAGGCCAAGGGCATTCGTGGGAAATATGTGCATTACCTATGCTTATACTATTTAATGCAACCAGCAAGCTGATATATGTATTTTGCCATATATCAACCTGCTTCACAAATTTGGTGACTTAAATGTGTTATCACTGAAGCCATGCGCCAACTCATATTGCACCTGTGGGAACAACAGAACTGTCGCAGCGGCTTGCCTATTGCTGCAACTCACAACGAACACACGATAAAAGAAAATGAACATAATGCTTATCAACCTTGCACAGTGGCGTGTGAAGATGATCATGTTACGTCTGGCACGCTGCTAGCGTGCGAATATTTAGTTGTGAGAGCCAGCAACATTGCTAAAAATATTTGATAACACAAATAAAACCAACAACAAAAACAACATAAGAAGCTAATTTAAAGTACTTATGTATACATATAATTAATATAATAATAATAATGCAATTACAATAATTGATACAATTGATTTTTATAATAAAGTTAATATAAAACTTAACAATCACTTTCTTCTTCGCCAAATGGGGCCGTTTTTGCTTTAAATTAACGTCGAATCTGTTAACTGTGGCCATGACCTTGTTGGCTGACAGACTCTGTTTGGCCTTCTTTGGTCCACGTTCACCCCTAGCAATCCTGTTTCGATTGTTTCGTCCACAGTAATAAAACGGCGCAAAAATTCGTTCGGATTACGGCTGAACATCACTAAACACTCTTTTGTAGTGGTCACACGATTGCGCTTATGGTCGAGTGTGAACAATCGCGGTACCCATTTCGCGGAGAGTTTTTTCATGTATAAATATTTGTGTAAAATATGATATACCCGTTCAGTTGAGATACCTACAGCATGAGCCAACTCACACACTTTCATTCTTCGATCATCCTGATATTGGATCATATTGATATTCATGGATTTTATTGACGATTTCCGACGTGATCACTTCTTTTGGGCGACCTGAACGTTTGGCGTCACTACTGCTGGTACGACCACAACGGAACTCTGTAAACCACTTCTTAACCATTGAAATTGATGATGTCCAGTCCCCGTAGTATTTATTAAGTCTTTCCTAGCTTTCAGTGATGGTATTTTTACGTAAAAAGTAATGCTTAATCAGCACGAAGTTCACTATTTTCCATTTTCGTAAAAATTCACGAGGTTGTCTGCTCTGAACGGCTATCAAACACCAACTGAACGACGTAGCTTGCTCTAAATTAAAAACTTGTCCACTGGTAGATTTCAATTGACGGCAGCATTGTTACATTTGGAGTAACTGCGCGGGAAATTCAAAAAGTCACTGACTTATCAAACCGCCCTCGTATATTAAATATAAATATACGTATGTGTTTATTGTATATTTATATTCGTATATTATTGATTGGCGAACATTAAAATATATACTAAAATTTGCAATTCGACTCTCCTTCATTAATTATCTAACTAGTTTCATTCTGCATAAGCTCATTTGATGCTCCCTCGTTGTCATGTACGTAATCCACATGTTCCGTATCATCCCATGAGGTTCGTAAAATGTTGTGCAATATGTAACAAACAAGGAACCAATTTGAACAAAGATTATGACCCGTATCAGTCCGATATTCTTAACTCCTTAAGATTACCAAAGCGTTCTTTCAGAAATCTTACACGAAACCTGCTGCGACGTAAGTTAAGAGTTTTACGTTTGGAGTAGTCAAGCTGTTAGGAATTTGATTGAAAAGGAGTTATAAGAGTTTTATGTAATAAATAAGCAACATCGGCTGCTAATCATTGTTCTGAAGAAAATAAAGTTTTTTTTTTGGATACAGACAGTGCTTGTATGAAACATGCGACCATCATGTGGACTTCCAAAGTGGCCGACTGCAACTTGTCGAATCTTTAGCTGATAGTTACGACTTGTACTTTTATTGAATATACTTTTTCAGTTAATCACTGGTGCTTCGGCAAATTTTAATTCAGTGTCGTTAATATATCCAATGCAATGTGAAAGCTCATGATAAGTTTTCTCTACTATATCTTATCTTTCAGCTGCATGGCCACGTTATCAATTTGGTTTATAGTTCCAATATGGAGTGAAAGACCGGGTAATCTTATAAATTGTTCCCTATCTCCAACACAAAATAATGTAGCCATTTTGCGAAAAGTCACATTTTTGCCTGATGAACCCAAACGATATGAAACAATAGTTAGTTGAATATCGAGCGGGTATTGTTAAATTGAATTTAAATTATTAAACTTCGCGCTAATGCTTATTAGTGATAGTATGGCGGACACCTTACAAATAGAAAGTATACATTATTGAAAACAAACTACATTAACAATTTGTTAAAACCTTTAGTCAGAATATTAAAAGCTCATTTTTCAATTTAAACATCTATAAATTTTCGTATTTCCCTTGTTCGCGGTATTCTTATACTTTTATTTTTCTTTGTTCAATGTGATGCGGCTGCTGTTTCATTTTGATGATGCAATTCTGCAAAAGATGTGTTGTCGCACTCTTACAGTTTTTGTATAGCATTCTTGCATTTCGTGCACCTTGCAATGAGTGAGTTAACAAGAGGAATTGAATACCCCTATTATGTTATATAAAACTCTGTTATTACCATTTATTTCATTAAATATATATTCATAAATTTATTATAAAGATTAAAAAATTCCTGTTTAGCTTGTATGTTATTAATTAACCATGAACTATTTTATTTATTTTTTAAGATATTCGTAAACAGTTCTTGACTTCACCAACTTCTTTAAAAGTGGAAATTGGCTCTCGAGTTGAATTTTACTGCGAACCTCCACCTGGTTTGCCGACACCAAAGATTACGTGGTATAAAAATAATGTACCTATTAGCAATGCAAGTGACAAAGGATTTTTAATTTCGCTGTCGGGTACACTAGCAATTCAACAAGGTTCCTTACAGGTATTTTGATTCATGAATCTTAATTTTGCTATATAAAAATTAATTATATGTTATATACAAGAGGTACAATTACATTGTTGAGTTGTAGTCGTATAATATTGGATGCTATGTTTATACTATGTGATCAACAATAGATTAATAATTGTGATTATAGTGGTTAAATTGTAAACTGATTTAAAAAAATCCCCACTTTTTCAAGATTTATAAGATATCTTGCTTACTGTAATGATTATATTTCCGTGTAATTTTAGAAGCGAGAAATGTTAGAGTAGGTAAAATATTTATCATTTGTGTTTCAATGCTTTTGTATGAAATGTTCGTAAATGCGAATTATTTATTATTTAGGGGTGCTTTCTCAAGTCGTAAAAGCCTTATAAAGGTTTTTCTGTTAGTTGTTTTAATTTGATCCTTAATATATGTATCTTTGGCTAGTATAAATAGTATATATATTGTTATTAGGTCTAGTAAAAAGAAATCCATTATTTCCCCAATAGATTGACTTAGTTATCTGTATCCCACGTTGTATAAGTTCAAATGACGTTAGAAAGATAAGATTTCGTATTAAAAAAACTTTTGACCCAAAAATAATAACTGAGACAAAATTTGACACATTATTTTGAGCGTACAGTTACCTTCACGATCATACACAAAAATATACCAAAGTTTTGAAAAAATCCTATTCATCTTCATGAATAGATAAAGATTGCATATGTTCATATTTGTTGTTATATTCAGATCCACTTTTACATATAGAAATACTGTGTTTCAAAAAATTACAGTTTGTAAGGACGGATATTTTTACATATTTCTAATCTACATAAATTCAATATAAACATAAACAATAACAACTCGACACTAATAACTACAAAAGACGTTTTTGTTACATATCACAGTACATTGTATTTAACGCTCAACACTCAATTTAATTTTACTCAGTTTGTGAAATTTCAATATAATCTAAAATAAAATAGATTAGTTTTTTAATATATATAATATATATTTTATATTAAAAAAAAAACTCACAAGAACTCACAAAAAACTCAATACATCTTTGTAAAACAAGACAGTAAAGATTATAGTCATCAAGGCAGAGTTGTCATCATACATCTGGATCACTACATCTTGTATGTAAATCGTGTCAAGGTAGTCATCATATATCTTGACCAGTAGATATTGTATGTAAATCGTGTCAAGGTAGTCATCACACATCTTGACCAGTCGATTGTGAATTTAGGATTGAATAACTCCGCATAAGATTCTAAACCCCAGCTAATGATATTTTCTCCTAACACCAAGACTAGTGTCGTCTGATCAAGAGTAGTGTCGTCTGATCGAGAACATACATACAACGTCCAGACCAGTTACCAAAACACGATTAACATCCAAGAAATAATCAGAAAAAACGAATTATTAAACTAACAGTATATTTTAATTATATTAGATTTTTAAATTTTGTTTTTAATAAATAATAAATTAAATCCATCAAGTTGTCTTTGACTTCAAAAAGTAAAAAAAAAATAAATTGCAACAACCCTCGGACTACGCATACATCAGAACTTATCAGCGAACAAAACGCATCGTTACAAGTTTAATTGGACCACAATTGGAAGGTGTTTCTATTTTCAAGAATAATTAATGATTAATTAACATGAAAAAATTTTAAGTCAAATAACTTATAGGCTTTACGCTACTTAATTTAATTGTTTGTTTGGTTACATAAACAAGAAATAATAATTCGTGTGAATGAATTATACGTGTTCGTTTTTGATTCTTAGTTTCCGAAACCCAAATAGAATCAATCATTTTTTACTAAATAAAATTATCCTTACCTTTTTACAAATTTTCTTGTATGGGCAACTCATCTTCTTTTCAATATTTTACTTGTTCATGTTTGCATGGCCAATTCATATCATTTTCAATATTAGGTGATGAATATGCAACCGCCACACCACTCCACTGGCAGTGACTGAGTCAGGCGCGATGTCATGTTAAGTCAAATTTAACGTATCTTCTTGGAACCTGCATTAATCGTCCCCTTCCTGTTACGTTACTGGGTTTGGTATCCTTTCGAATATCTGCCATAGTTTCTGTACGTACGTGATGGGCTTACGTCTTCGTAGTCGCTTGATAAAAATGCTGTCTTTGCCCGATTCACGCTCACCCGCACCGGTTGTCCTTCGATTAGAAGGTCATTCGTCTTGTCTGAACGCCTCACAACCCTAAATGGCCCGTCATACGGTGTTTTTAATGGTGAGCGGACACTATCATCCCTCAAAAATACGTAAATAGCATGTTACAGTTCCTTCTATAAGATTACCTTATCTTTTGAGTGGTTTGATGTGGGAACTGATCGTATTTGGGACATCATGTTTTCCACGAATTCATGTTCTGGAACTTGTCATTATTACCTTGCTACAGGAAATCGCTCGGCAACCGCAAAGATGTCCAATATACCATTTCTGCTGGAGCTGCTTTGAGGTCTTGTTTAAAAATATTTCATTGATGCCTATGCCTACATTTCATTGCGATTTTCAGAGTCCGGTAAAATTGTTCAATCAACCCATTGGTTTGAGGATGACGTGGACTAGTTCGGATATGTTTGGCATCAATGAGTTTTGCCAGTTCATTGAACGGTTCTGATTCGAACTGTCTTCCTTGATCTGTTATGATCTGCTTCGGGACGTCAAAGTGCATGATCCATTGATGAGTGCTGTGGCCACGGTGCTGGCATGTACATCCTCGATAGGGACTACTGCTGGCCATTTGGTAAACCGATCGATACATGTATGGCAATATCGGTAACCGTTTGACGATGGTAGAGCCTCAATGAGGTCAATGTGGATTACAGCGAACCGCTCACTTGGAATGTCCAAATTGAAAATCGCTGATCTGTTATGTGAGTTTTGCTTGTTGGCACGGAAGACATAATTTAACTCGCATCGCAATGTCTTTAGCCATGTCTGGCCATACGAAACGCTCTGCTATTTGTTTAATAGTGGCTCGCCTACCAGAATGTGCCAAATTATATATTGAATTGAAGACGCGTTATCTAAACTGTTCAGTTACAAAAGGACGAACACGATTTGATAATACATCGCATGCAACTTCCTTAGATCAATTTGGATTGACTATCCATTGCAATTGAAGTGCAGATTTATTCGTATTAGATAGAAAACCATTTGTTTCAATGTCGGTTTTCTGGCTTGCTGGTAATTGATCAAGGTCAACTAGGTGTTCGTTGCTGACAGCTTCGATGCGTGACAGAAAATCGGCTACCGGATTATTCTTGTCAACTATATGCATAATGTCAGTTGTGAATTGACTGATGTAATCTAAATGTCTCAGCTGGCGTGGCGATGCCTTTTCCGGTTTCTGTCGAAATGCATACGTTATCGGCTTATGATCGGTGAAAATAGTGAAACGTCTACTTTCAATTGCATGTTTGAAATATTTGACCGATTGGTAAATCGCGAGCAACTCACGGTCATACGTACTTGACTTGGGTGTTCGTCAATCGCTTTGAGTAAAACCCCAAAGGCTCGAGTTGTCCATTGTTGATTTGATTTAATGCAGCGCCAACAGCTACGTTACTGGCATCCACGTGGAGTACGAGGTTTTGCGTCTGGGATTGGGTGAACCATTGTTGTTGCATTAATTAAGGCTTCTTTGTATCCCGCAAATGCGTTATCTGCATCCGCGGTCCATTCAATAACAGTTTTGTCCTGTTTTTTGTTACCCATAAATAAGTTTTGAAGCCGTCCCTGGATCTCTGCCGCTTTTGGAATAAACCGTCGAAAAAAATTGATAATTGTAATGAATTTCCTTTTAGTTCATGCATTACCCTTGATTTTGGAAAATGTGCAATCGTCTCAATTTTTTTCCTGGTGGACGGATTCCTTTATGATTAATGAGATGACCAAGGAATGTTACTTCTTCCTGTGCGAACATACATTTCGCAATGTTTATTTTAAGGCCATGTTCCTGTAGTCGTTGTAGCACACTGCGCACATGTTGTATGTGCTCGTCTATGTTATCGGATGCGATACAAATATCATCAATATAACATATGGCAAAATTAAACCCAAAGAGAACTTGGTTCATGAACCTTTGATATGATTGTGGTGCATTACAAAGTCCAAATGTCATGACAATAAATTCATACAGGCCGAAAGATGTAATTATTGCTATATTTTCTCTATTCTCTTTCGCAACAGGTATATTAAAGTACGCCTTCTCCAAATCCAACGTTGTAAAAATGCGTTTTCCATTTAGCGAATGCGTAAAATATTGCATGTGTAGAAAGGGATAGCGGTCAGGAACTATTAAGGCATTAAGGCGGCGGTAATTGCCACAAGGTCGCCATAAGCCATTTTCTTTTTGCACCATATTTAGTGGGCTCGCCCATTCACTCTTGGATGGTATACAAATCCCTTGCTTCATAATATACTCGAACTTCTGCTTGGCTGCTTGCAGTTTTTGCGGATTTAGCCGCAATACACGTGAAAAAACAGACTGAACAGTGGTGATAATCTGGTGGCGACCCGTAGTCTTAGGTTCGTTATTGTAATTGTTTGAAACAGGCATTGTCACCTCCGGCGATGTATCGGCCACCATCGATCAAGTCTCTACTGGTTTCCCTGCGGATTGAAACTACACGGCAAGTAACACATAGGATAACGTCTTACTTGCGAATCAGTACAAAGCGGACGATCTGGAGTTTAAGATCTTGTTCTACATCACCTTTGTGCAGTTTTTATATCCGTAACCTGCTTACTCAAGGCGTCTATGGCTTTCATGACATGATAGCTACAGAGTTGTAGTTTCCCATTTCCAACATCAGGTTAGCCTGTTGCACACATTTGTCCAAGTCAGCTTCCGAAATTGAAACGACTGCTCGGACTTGCTCTGGCAAACAATCCAGCCACAATTGTTTTATTGCTCCATCATTCATGGCACCACTGACTAAATCTCGCATGGTGCGCAACAAATGTGTTGGCTTGCTGCCACCTAACTGGCACTCCTGTACTAGTCGTCGCATTTTTCGATTTTCGGAGTCTGCAAATTCTTGAATTAATCGCTTCTTACGATGTCTGCGATATTTCTTAAAGTAGCGCTGTCGAGATTGCCGACTACATGATCATACTTGGTTTGGTCTGTTTTGATTCCTGCATTTCGGAATTGGGATTCCATCAGGATAAAATACAGATCTGGATCCCTCTTGCAGAATGCTGGTGCCTTGATACCGATACGGCAAATGTCACCTCGAGGTTGTTCGTTTCTGTAAACAATTGGTATGTTACTATCTGCAGGTGTGTTGTTTCTATATGGTACGTTATTGTTGCTTGTTTCGACTTGCGACATTTTTGATTACGTCGGGGTCACCAATTCTAGGCTTCACCCTACTTAATTTAATTGTTTCTTTGTTTACTTAAACAAAAAATAATAATTCGTGTGATAAAATTATACGTGTTCGTTTTTGATTCTTAGTTTCCAAATCCCAAATAGAATGACAATCATTTTTTACTAAATAAAAATGTCCTTAGCTTTTTACAAATTTTCTTGTATGGCCAACTAATCTTATTTTCAATTTCAAGTGGTGAATATGCAACCGCCACAAGCTAAGCAATTTTAGTCCATTAAACTATTTAATTATCTATCATTAAATTATTTGCATAAATCATTTTTGAGACATCAAACTTGATCGAACATTGTCTAAGACTTTTCTTTGACACCTTGCTAATATTGCAAATTAAGATATTGCGCAAAAACGTACAACACATTAATATATAAATATATGTTTATTATCTATAATGTGCAAGAGCTTGACTGAAATATGTTTACTTAAACAGGATAACGCCAATTATAGCTGTGGTGCTGAAAATATCGCTGGGAAAAGGATATCAGATGCTGCAACTTTAATTGTATATGGTAAGTTATTGACAAGAAAGTATTATTTTATATGAATATATATTTATATGAATACCAATCTGATATTATATTGTATATAAAGATTATATTAATTCAAAGGTTAAAAAAAATTGTAGTTTGTTGAACTGTTGTGCGATTTAGGTTAACATTACAGTTCAGTTTGCTGATTGGAATTATTTAGATATTTAGCTTCATTGCAGAAATAATTCATTTTATGTTACCGTAGATCATGTTTAAGATGGTATTTCTTTTTCTTAATAAAGAGAGCAATGATAGTTTTATTGACATTCTCTGTCTTTTGCATTAGTTTTGCACCATTGTTAATGCTGTTCGTATAAAATTAGTTGAAATTGGGCCATCTTTTCTTTGAATTTTAAATCTCCCATCTTTTTTGAGTTCTTCATAACCCAAATTTTTGAGCAGTTGCATTATACCATCTGGGAATATATGTGTAGTAATGTAAAGAGATTGCCACTCTGACAGTTTGTTAGATTACCAAATGTCAGATATTTTGATTACCCGCTTTCGGAATATATACTACATAGACTGTTCTTCATCCTTTTAGAATGCTTCCTGGAGTAAAAGTTCAATAATCAATCTTCATTTTAAAGGGTATGAGTTGAATAGCTTTTTTTATAGAAGGACAGAAGATATTCCGTTAAACTTTGCCACTGGCATCCGCTAGTACCAATTGTGACCGATTTTTCTTTAGAAACGAATTTTTATAATCTAATGTTTAAGGTGTCGTTGAGATTTCTTACAGAATTTTTTAAATGATACCCTCTTTGCTTTTTTAATATTTGTTATTGTTTCTTAGTACTCGAGTGTAGTCCAGTTTCTACACTCAAGCCAAATATTTCTTTTGGCTTAAATGAATAGGTTATGTACTTCTCCGCTTTCCAGGGCTATTAATTAAAGAAACCTAAGCATTAAATAGAGTTCAAGGTCAAAAAGAATCGTATACAAACTAGCCATTTTAAACCACCAGAGGAATAAAAGAATGAGAATATTGATAAAAATAATAGTAATAATGAATTATTTCATGGTTTTTCTTTATCTGCTGCAACGAGTACCTCTTCGAATAGAGAACTCGCGCTTTCACTCCGAAGAAAATCCAATACTATTTATAACCTCTTCCTTTCATGGAATATCTTTCACTGTGCCACGCAATTCTTTTTTTTTTTTTTTTTTTTTTTTTTTTTTTTGTTATAGATGCACTAACATTATACACATTATATCATTAGTCAAGAACAAAATATTAAATATAGTCACAGTTACAAACCGTGAAGGTAATTTCATTATGCCTCTCTCATAGAAGTCTTCGTCACTATTGGCTTAAAATTAAGAAAGTCGATTTTCACAAACTTCTCTTGAAGCGAATTTTTCACCAAAAAAATCAGGAGGGAAGTGGACAGAAATAGATGGTAATCACTTGGTGACAGGTCTGGACTATAAGGTGAATACATATGAACTTCCAAATCAAACTCCTTTTGGTGAGTCATCGATGTCGATATCCATGTGTTTGACCTGACGTTGTCCTGATGGAACACAATTCTTTTCCTAATGCCCAAAGCTAACCGTTTCTGGACGATTGCTTCCATCAAACGGTCCAATTGTTGACCGTCCGGGTACAGTGCCAAGTTAAGTGTTTGACCGTAGTGAAGCGGCTCATAGTAGATAATTCCCTGCCAATCCCACTAAACATATTGTAAAACTTTCCTTGATCATCGTTTCCATCAGCTCACCCTGATTCGACCTCAACCGTTTTCGGTTGACGTTCTACTTTCGTAAGTGATCAACTTTTAATCACCAGTCACCAAATAATTAAAAAATGGGTTGATTTTGTTCCGATTTAGTAACGATTCTCAGATGGAAATTTGGTCCATAAGGTCTTTTTGTGTTAGCTTGTGTGCGACTTATACATCGATTTTCTTTTCGTATCCAGCCTTATTCAAATGGTTTCAAAAATGCCACGCGTAGACTATTAGTGTCCATTATGATACCAGATCAGTGTCTTATACCTAGCCATAATTATCACTCAGGATGCATGTGTTACTACCGAATAGAATTACAACATCAACCTCAAGCATGTGCTCCAGTCCTGTAAAATTGACAGCCCTCAAATATTTTTGTAGAGTTCTCAAGAGAGCCGGGCAGTTACACAGCAGGCGCTTTACTTAATTTGTCCCAGATTGATTGAGCTAGGAACATTTTTTAATTATGACCAGTATGATTTCATTGCTTTAATAGTTGCTTGGCTAACCACGAAGAAATTTTTACAGCAGCTTGTCATTTCGTGCACACACACACACAAGCTCTGCTGATTTGTTAGCTTCATCTCTGCTTATTTTTAGATCGCATCATATTTCTCAGTTGTTACACCCGAGAATCTCATGACTAGGCCGGTCAAAGAACAGATGGTGTCCATTATCCGATCGGTGCCCACGAGGAAGATTTATAATGAGAATTTTGCCAACTATACGGTTTTTGGTTTTTGTGGAATGTTTAGCTCTTGGGCAAATGAAATAGTGCTTATATGACGATCGGGCTCGACAATTTCCATGATTTGATCAATATTTTCGATAATAGATTTTCTAGTGCTTGATAGAAATACATGATCACAGCAAAATAAAAACAGACATGCGCAGAAACAAAAAATGCATGCGTTGCCACATTCATCGAATATAAAAAGAATCTTTTTTTATTGGCAACGCATATATTTTTTGTTTGCAAATTCGTTTCCTAGGTGGCGCAACTAAGTTGGACGATATTCATAGAAAATAGCCATTTTCTATGAATATGTGTCTGCCGATACGAGGCGCTTAAGTGCAACTAACTGGGATGCAGCAAATGTAATTATTTTCATATAAATGAAACCATAAGTGCAGAAAAAATATAATTTAATGCAACTATCTTATCGATGCAGCTAAGCGAATTATACTGTATTAAACATAGTTGAGTTTTTGTAGTTTTGCATATAGTTTTAATATTATTGTAGTTTACTATATTAATTATATTAAAATGTTTCGTTCCAAATAATAAACCGTGTAACTAATATCGTTCTTATAGTAAATGGTGGATGGAGTGCTTGGAGTCATTGGCGTGATTGTAAATGTGGTGCGAATATAGGTAAAGGAAAGAAAAGATCTCGTTCGTGTAACAATCCAAAACCAATAAATGGTGGGGAACAATGTACTGGTCGTCAAGTTGAAAAATCTGTAGATTGTATTACGTGTTCTGGTATGTATGATTCGCAAAAAAAAAAACAATAATAAAAAATTCATTACAATACTTTTTTTTTAAAGATGATTTCAAGTTTATGGAAAATGAGAACCCTGATTTGTATTTCAACAAACGTGGTAAGTGTTATAAGATATCTAGAATGACTGTTCTAGAAGCGCTTGAACGTATTCGGTTTAAGTACTTTAAAGCATTTGTTATTATTGATTAGAAAATATTTTATGTTCTAAGCGTAGTAAATCAATTCATTAAAAAGAATTAACACGTATCTAGCAAATTGGTAAAACGATATTTGTCAGTAAGGCATTAACTGGATTCATCAAGCAACGATTGTGCGATCTCAATATGTTGTGCCGAGAACAATCGTTCCAAATCTTTAGAGTAAGCATAACTTTCATAACGGATTTGCTTTGCAATAACTTAAAACACTCTAAAACGGTGTACTGTTTGTAACTGTGGTCTGTAGTCTATTGTTGACATTGAGGATATTTGCTTATTTTAACTGTACTAATATTTCATTGTTGGATAAAATGTATACGACTTCTAAATCAACGTCTAAATGCTTACTTCTTAGGATCGGTTTAGTGCGAAGTTGGCCACACTGTAGTTTTTAAAAGCTACATATCTTATGTCTGTGGTACATTATCCAATGAAACTGATAGCTTTCTGATTAGCTAGGAATGTGTAGCCCTTCTTCTCTACTATGTGTTTAAAATTTGTGGTTATGATAAATAGCGACCAGATTCCTATCATATATGTTGTAACTCTGTTGAGTTTTTATGAGTTGCATTGAGTAGCCACCAAATGTTTTCAACCACTATGCAGAAATGCAGTGCTTTTTGCTGAATCGCTTGCATCTACGTGGAGTTACGTTGTATTTTATCTTCTTGTTATTAATCAATTCCTGCAACTTACCTTGAGTTATATCTATACCCGTAATAAAATACGTATAGAAGTTACCTATAACCAAGAATCGCTGATCGCTGTTTCTAGGCTATGATCGGTAAGAAGTACAGCGTATTAACTTGGTGAGTAATTGAAAATGAAATTTGTCGATTAAATGCCCTTAAAAATAAACTTGAAGATTTCGTATTTCTCCCAAGATTAAATGTATATCTCGTTTATTGAGCAAATAACAAAATCGCACTACTATGCACCTCATCAAAATATCGCTGAAATATTTACGCTGTATTACATTGTCAATACTTGAGTATGGTGAAAACATATTTATCATATTATGTACCCGTAGCGTACAATATAAACATTAAGTTAATGTTAGCCACCGGATGGTCGTTAAGCTTTGCGATTCGGCGGAACATATTCTGCAGAGTCACCTGATCGGTCTTTGTGATTTAAAACTTCTGGTGATTTAGACAACTCGAGCATAAAAATTAAATTGTTCGGTAGTTACAAAGTTATGGTAGATTACTTTTTGTTCCGGATTGTTTACAATATTTTTTTAGGCGGCTATAATCTTTACTTTTAATAAAGAAACTCAAATAACTTGTCAGTTTTTTTCAGTACATTTCAGACAGATATCGAAAGGAAGTAGATTAACATAAAAAATATATAATAAAAAAATATTGTTTTATATAGAAGTATTAAATATTTTACGATATAATTTTGCAAACTTTTTTTTTTAGGAAAATGGTCTTCATGGACGGAATGGAGCTTGTGTTCGGCTGAGTGCTTACAATATAGAACAAGAAAATGTATTATAAGTAATGGTGATAGAGCAACATCCGAAGAATTTTACTTGGGATTAAACAATAACGAACTGAGTGCTGTTAAAGCTAATAAACTGTATTGTCTGGGAAAGGATATTCAAACAGCAGAATGCCGAGGAAATCAATGCAAAACTTACGACTTGGGTAAATATTAAATTTATGTACGGATTATTTTATTCATATATTATTACTACTAGATTATGTGTACATCGTTTTAGCAAAACATTTTATTGATAATTTTCTAAATAAGAAAAACACTTGGGTTCAACCGGGTATTGTAGATTATGCAATTTTCATAATATTTTATGAGAAAAGCGACTTTTATTAATTTAACAGAAACTGTGGTGAATATTATTCTTTCTTTTGTTAGGTTGTGTGTGATATTTTTATTATGACGCACGAATTCATAAATATATGTGCGCAAGTATATATATATTTGTTTCTGTTATTAAATTGCTTGTTTATATTCTTTTTATTTTGAATTGCTCATTTTTTTTAGGAGCTTTTGAAAATTATTGAACTACAACAACAAAATTTTTTTTTATATAATATTAATTAATTAAATTTTTGGCTGACAATACAGCTTTTTGGAGTGTTGCTAAATACCCATCATCAGTGGTCTTGGAACTATTAGTATTTAATTATTAGTAAATAATTTTTTGAGACTGCAGGTACTACAGATTGCAAACGTACACTGTATGCACTATATATCAACGAAATATTCAAATTTATTTAATTATTGTTTTATTTCATAAACTTTAGGTTCATGCATTTTTAAATGAATTTTTAGAAAAATTAATTTATGAATATGTTTAATTTTGTAGATCGAACGCTGATATTCATATTTATGAATACATACATATATGAGAGAACAAACTTATGAATGCGACTTACAACCAAATATATGAAATCCAACAAATTTGTAATTGCTCAGATGTTCCGATGCTCTTTCTTCCATCAATTATTTTTGAAAATTACTTGTAATTAGTAATGGGGTTATTCAATTATAATTGTAATCTAGTAACTTGATTACCAATTACTTTACCCTGTAATTAGTAATTAAGGGTAATCTAATTACAAAAGTATTCATTACTTCACAGCTTTGATTGTACAATTCTTTTCTTTCAGAATCTCCCCGTAAGATTTTTCATTTAGTTAAGCAGATGCATTTGTGCATTAATTGTAGTTCGAATGATTGTAAATAATTTAATAAAAAACACAATTCACTTTTTTATTTAAAAGATACAAACAGTGAAATAACCAAACAAGAAGTAGTTATACAGGGGGTTATGTTATGTTGGGAACAGCCACATATAATTATACGAAGTAATAAGGAACAAAGTACGAATAAATAATTAAGCCGATGTACAAATAAATTGACTAAGCAAATGTATTATTAAGTACAGAATTATCTAATCAACTGTTATCTAATCAATAAGAATTGGTAACAATCTTCTGCCTTTACAAAATACTCTACTAGTTTAGATGATAATAGAAAAAATAAGTGACAATGTATTAACTTAGCAAACATAGACTTGCGGTGTATATTCAGATATCGATAAAAACTTACAAAAAGTAATAATGAAATTTGCTTTGTTGCTTGAAAATATAGCAAAACAAGATTAAGAGGATTTAGATTTCAACAGTGAATAACAAACGTCCATCTAAATATTGTGGTTAGTGTGCAATCGACAATTAATAAGTTCATTATAAAATAGATCTACGTCTAACGAAACGTAACTAACCATCAATAACTTCAAGTATAGCTAAAATATTTGAAACCGTTAATCAAACAGTAAATGAATCAAATTTTACGACAAATTGAGGTTACTTCATTAATTTAATTGAAAAGCATTTATTTGTACAGTAGACGACAACATCGGTGGACCTTAATTAATTTTGTGACACTTCTGAGAAGGTTTTTGTATACATCCGAACAAAATTGAAAGACGGACATCTTCTGATAGTCTGGTACATGTTCCAAATCAATCGTTGCAACCGATTAAAAAGCAAAGTATTCCATGCTTAGAGTTGTGTGCGGCTTTTTTTAGAGCAACACTAATTAATAGAGTGAAAGGTAACTTAAACTTTAAAGTGGAAGCAATAATTAGACAGATTTGGAAATTGTTTTGCATTAAATAATTTCGGTGCAGGCCGAAACCATCAACAAGTTGTATCAAATAGAATTACTGCATTTCAATATATATCAGTACCAAACCATTGGCGACAGGAAACCATTCTTGAAGATAACCCCTTATATTCACATGATATACACTTAAAGTATATATACAAAACCTTATTTCTGTGTGGCGATGGAAGATTGCCAAATTATTTGTGTTTTACCGAAATACAGAGTGAAAAAAATATCAATACAAAGAAACTTTTAATCAAAAACCCCTCAATATTTCAATAATCAATATATTCCTCAATATATTTCCTAATTAGGTAGGTTACTTTAATGGTGGTTCAAAGTTTTTTTTTATAAATTTTTAATTACAAACTTCTATAACTCGAAATACTATTTTGCAAAATAAGGTTCGACTTATGGTGACTTCAAGTTTAAGAATTTTTTTTTTAATTGTATGTAATTTGCTCACTAAACCCTCTCGCACTCTATTTAGTTCGACTAATAGAAAATGCGAGTTATAGAAGTTCGCGTTATGGAAGTTTGACTTTATTTGGAAAACCTCAGGTTTTTTTTTTCTTCATTTTTTGAATATTGATACCATATAATCTTTTGCATTTTTATTTTTTTTGTAAGAAATTGCTTTATGGTATATAATGCTCCAAATTTCTTTAAAAGCAACAAAGTACTGCTTTTTTCAACCAATATGCACAAATTTATTCATTGGCATTTATACGCACTGAATAATTTATGCACTTTTTTTTTTAAATAATCGTTTTTTGGCTTAACGTTTTCTTCGGCTAGATTTTTGTTTGTCACCCTGTATCTCAGTAAATATTTAAAGTAGACTCCACTTTCCTCATACCAATATACGAGTTATTAGACCAGGGAATCACTTCGTATTTCTAGACGAATACCTCGAACGTACCAATAAATTTATCAAATATTAATTTGGATGACGGTGTAAAATATATAAATACTTTTTATTCTATTTTCTTATACCTGATATTTTTATATTAAATTTCAGATTCTGATTGGTCTTTCTACATTGGATTTGCTTTTATTTTACTTGTGTGTTTTGTGTTTGGAATTATTATAATATGCTACAGTCGGAGAAATATAAATTTTCACCATAACTACAACATGACTCAAACTGGTAAAATATAATTTACATTTATATTATTAACTTATTTATTTCAATATTTTTGAATATAAATAGAAGATATTTTAGACAAAAAATCTGTTCGAATTCATAATGATTCAGTGAACGAATGCTACGATTACATAAGCACTGATCAAAGGTTCATTATAAATGGAAATCCTGGGTATAGAATGACAGAGCATCACTATGATGTGCCAAATTTAACAAAGTAAATCGCATTTTTATTATTTTTAAAGTCATGCATATAACATTTGTTTTGGTTTAGTTACGCTAATCCAATTGATGAGCTAGATATCAGCAATCTCTCTGAAAGCGTAGACTCTACAAATATAGTAGTAGGTAAGTGTGTCTGCTCAAATATTTTCTATTTTAGATTAAATACTGATTTTGTTTACGTTTTAAATATATATTTTGCAGTGAAATCAAACGTCGACTTAAAAAAAATGGAAACTATTTCATCCGTAGCTAAAAACGAAACAAATGAAGAACTGGGTAGGAATGGTGGTGATTTAAAATTATATAATGGAGAAATTATACTCTATGTACCAGATCTCGCTTTAGGAAAAACCGAAAAGAAGCTCATATCACTTACATTGCTTGGTGATGAGAGTTTTCGAGTATCAAATCCAATTACAGACTCTTTTCTACTTTGCTCCGCAATAGTTCATTGCACTCCACAAAATTTTAATTTTTTGAAACCTGTCATATTAAAAATTCCCCATTGTCTCCTAAATTATGACCTTTGGAGTGTGAATGTCTTTCATGCCGATAACGAACTTGATGATATTAATATAACTTGGCGTAAAATTATTATTGTGGGAGAGGAAACAATTAACACTCCCGTTTTCGTGCAAGTTGAGCAGAGACATATATATATTATGACAGAGCAGTTGGGACGATTCGCAGTTACTGCACGTCCAAAATCTGACTTATGTACTAATCCTTCAATTAAAATGAAATTATTAGCATTTAGCCAACTAGCACCAAATAGCACTAATAGTAGTTTACGTATATATGTGGTTAGAGATCTTCCTAATAATAAAGACCTTTGTACAAATATTGAATTACAATTAGGCGGAACGTTTATGGGACAAAGTGATACATTCGCTTTCTTTTTAAATAAATGTAGTTTAAATATTAGAGTTTGCAGTCAAGATAAGGAAAAAATAAATTCAGCCATTCACGTACATACAATTCCTTACAACCATATTCTTAATAATTGCTCAATTTTACATTGCGAGTTTAATTTTAAACAAGATGAACTCCTACAAATGTCGTCTGAATATTGTGTAGACTTTGGACAAAGTGATGACACATATAGCCACGAAAACATACAGTCTTTTATCTTATCCAAAAACGAGCATATAAATGATGCGCATACGAGTTGGCTAACTACGATATCCTTAGATCATCAAGGAAATTTTGTGAATGATGCAGTTGCAACTAGCATAACTCCATTACCTCGCACAGCAAAACGTTTGATTTGCACAGCTCTGGATCCACCACGTTCAGACGAAAATGATTGGCGAATGTTGGCAAAAAAACTAAATACCGATCATTATATTGCCTACTTTGCAACGAAGCCCTCACCTACCGAACAAATTTTAAATTTGTGGGAATGTAAAGAAAACAATGCATTGAAGAGTATTACAAAGCTTTTACTTATTTTTAAGGAAATGGGCAGGCAAGATGTAATTGATATTATTACCGAATCTATTGGGCCGCTATGGATCTGACTTAAATTTACTGAAACTTATTTTTGTAGTTGCCTTTTATTTAAAATTTTTTAAGATAAGATTATAAGATTGAAATAAAAATGAAAAATGTTGAAAATCATGCACAACTGAATTTATTATTAATAACTTCGCCAAAATGCTTACAGCAAATTAATATTCTATTTAACTATTGTAATCAGCTGTTGAACGAATATAATGAAGTCGGAAATATTTTATAATTTATTTCTTGTATTGAGACATTAAATGAATGTATAAAAACATGTAAATTTATAAATAATAATAAAAATGAAAAAAAGTAAAAAAGTGAAAAACGTATGCCACATTAATTGTTTTAAGATTTTACAAGTTTTCTTATTTGCTTTAAGTTTACCCAGAGAAGTGTTTCTTAACCAAAAACCACGCACTGTGGACCGTAAAAATATTTATCAGATTTTTTTTATATTTTTACTCAATTAAGTACAAAGCAAAATACAAATTCAAATTATGAATTTCATGTTTTCTGAAACCCTGAAATTTTGAATTTTGTTTTAATTTATTTAGAAATATTCTAAGAAATTAGAAGTTTAGTCTTCAATTTTTTAATAAGTCAAGTTACTTGAATTTTTTTTATTTTCTGCTCTCGTTACTTAAATTAAGTGAAATAATACTGGATTCACACGAGAGTTTTGTTTGTTAGTTTTGCTGTCAAAAATTTTCATTTAGCATTGAAAGCAACAACAATTGACGGCTGAAATTACAAACATGACAGTTAAAATTATAAACAAAACTCTCGTGTGAATCCAGTACAAAAGAGTTTGTGGGAGTGAGGGTATATTTCGTGCTGTACAAAATTGAGGTAAAGCCGAAAAAGTTAATTTGTGTTATATATATTAACATTAGGGTGGCCCTAAGTACATTTTTTTCTGATCAGATAAGTTATATTGTTTTCTAGTACCTTAGCTGAAGAGAAAAATGTGTCAAAAAATTTTAAAAAATAATAGAAATAAAGACGTATCGCAATATCCTTGATAGTAGGACACTTAAGTGTAGATCTTTTTATTTATAACTATTTTAAGAAACATTTGATATTTAAAATGTTAGCAGTGATATAAAAAATAAAATGAAAATTAAACTATTGTATGCAGCTGATATGGATATAACACTAATGTCCACGAAAAAGCTACAAATAAAGTTTAAAGATTGGGATTTTTATTGGTAAAAGCTCGACTAATATTCATTACTTTAGCATCTAAGGCACTTTTTAAACGTTTTAATATGGGGTCTCATCTTTAAATTATAATTCATGCAAATAGAGATATAAATAATATTACAATAACGGAAATTTGCGACTACGATACCCACATAAGCAAGGATTCTGAATAGCAACAGTATTTATTGCATGTCCATGAATATAAAAAATGTTATCTAAATTCAACAAGAAGAGACAGTCTTTTACTTGGAAGTAATAGTTATTTACATATTTAAAGTTATATGTATCGGAAACTCAACCCTCTATAAGAGACAATTGATTAAAGACATTTTCGAAGCCTAAGAACAAAAGACCTTCTGCTCAAAAAGTATCCGAATTTTGTTGTTTGTTAACTACTCCTTAAGTAATAGACCTTTTTCAAAAATTTTTTTTTGTTGTTGGTACACCCTTTCTTGACATATGGTTCAAATTTGAGCGCCATCTGTCAATTAGTTTGTTTACAGCAGCTGTTAATGTGAGACTACCTCAAGTGCATTTAGCGATTTTTACTATGGAAATTCTTGTTGTATGCGATTTTTTGACCAAACACGGCACCACTGTCATCGCTCAGGCACCATATTCACCAAATCTGGATCCGTGCGACTTTTTCCTGTTCTCGAAACTCAAATTGCCCCTTCGTGGTAAGCGTTTTGAGTCGATTGAATCGGTAAGAGAGAATTCGCTGAAGGAACTAAAAGCCATACCTTCACAGGCCTACGAAAAGTGTATGGCAGATTGGGTTAATCGTTGGCATATATGTATCGCTTCAGAAGGAGCATATATTGAAGGAGATAAAATAAATTTGAAATAAAATTTAAATTTGTGTGTTTTATGTACAAAATCCGTGTACTTTTTGAGCGGAAGGTTTATAAAGGCTAATTGAAAAGCAATTGTTTTTCTTTCAATTAATAAAGCATTAATTTACGTTGAATATATTACAATAATATACTTAATGACTTGAAGACTTGCCAGTTATAATAAACAGAGAAAGAAAATATCTGTTTTATTTTTAAGTTGAAAAGTTGTTGCTGGACAACATTAAATTAACAAATGTCGTCAATTATTCTAAATTTCCTTAAAGAGATTTCCAGTTGAAATGATTTTTATTGAAACAGTAAAAGTTAAAATCAATGTTCATAAATTCTCTATTTTTTGCTTGTTTTTATAATTTTTAAAACTTTTTTTGGTTCCCCAGTTTTAATTTGTGCTTTTAATTCTAAAAGTTTTCGAAAAAGATTTAATCAAAATTTAATACTATAGTTATTAAAACATTTTTTATTTTTTGTTATTACAATTACAATAGGTCTGTTCCCCGAGCTACTCATAGTAAAACTCAAGTAAATCACAAGTAAAATTTACACGAAAATTTGCTGATGGAACGCACCTGTGTATACACAGTGTTACTCAAAGTTACTACGAGTAGCTCGTGAAACAGACCTAATATTTATTACTATTACAATTTAACGATAATTTATATATTAAGATGCTGGTCCTCATATGTTTAGTTCTATGCTTCTCTAATTATAATGAACTCTAACTCTATATACTCATTTTTCGAAGTTTCTTAAAATCAGTGGTCCACCGAGACCTTTGAGTTCTATTGTGCACTGGTATCCCTGATAATTGCATGCTGAACTATTCAGAACACAAGGTAAGTCTACAATGCATTTGATAGAAGTGTGTATTATAGGTTGTACACTGTGCAGAACTTCAAAAATGCTGAATGTACAGACTCAAATTTAAAGAACTTCTACAGCATAAAAGAGCGACTCACTATAATGAGCTAGCTATCTCAATAGCAACAACAAAGGACAGTAAATCCTTTTGTGGCAAAGTTCGAAAACTGAATGGGACTAGCCATATAAAAAATGCAAAGCTGGACGCACTGGAACTGAGTAAACACTTTGAGCGGATACTAAACAACAGCATACATAATGAGAGTTTAAGTTATGAGATGCCCATACTTGAAATGAGTGAACTAGATAGAACGATTACAGTAGCAGAAGTCAAAAAAATATTGCACAAGTGTAAGGATAATAAAGCTCCTGGAGAGAATCGAGTACCCATGGAATTCCTTAAATATGCTTCGGATCTATTTATTGAAAATATCACAGCATCATTTAATTATATCTACAACAGCGGCAATGTACCTGATTCTTTTCGCAAGTCGATTATCTTCCCATCGTACAAAAAAGGCGACACAAAGAATCCAGAAAACTATAGGGGTATATCTTTTAACAATGCCATGGCGAAAGTATTTGCAATTATTTTGAACGAGAGGCTACAAGAATGGGTTGATAACCATGCACTGATAAGTGAATTTCAATCAGGTTTCAGGAAAAAGTATTCAACTGTGGATAATATTTTTATTTTAACTAATATTGCAAAAATGTATATTGACAAAAACAAAAAACTTTATGTCTTTTTCGTGGATTTCAAGGCGGCGTTCGATTCAATACTAAGAAATGCGCTCTTCTATAAGCTTAGGAACTTAGGATTGTCAACAAAAATGATGCGGATTATTTGGAGCTTGTATCGTGGTAGTAAAGCAGCAGTGTGGGATGGAAATATTATTTCTGATTGGTTTCTTACACAGTCTGGGGTTAAGCAAGGCTGTGTTTTAAGTCTACTTTTATTTACTTTATTTTTAGATGACCTGGTTAACTTTTTAAACGGTGGCATCATGATTGATGGCATGCAAATAAAGGTTCTGATGTATGCAGATGATGTGGTGCTGTTTGCAGAGTCACCAAGAGCCTTGCAGCTAATGATAAATAGACTGAACGATTACTGTAATACCTGGAATTTAGAAGTCAATATAGCAAAGACAAAAATAATAATATTGAAAAAATTTGCAAGGCGTCTTGCATGCGATGAAAAGTGGTACATTAACGGTAAATTATTGGAAGTAGTTAAGACATATAAGTATTTAGGCGTTTGGATAACATATAATGCAACATTCGAAACACACATTAATAAAAGGCTAAAAGAATCAAAACTAGCAATAAACAGCACATGGAGAAGAGCATTAGGAAATGATACGGTAGCTCTTTCAGTTAAATACAAAGTTTTCCAAGCTACTGTCAACTCAATTATGAATTATGCTTCCCATGTTTGGGGTTTTGAAAAATATAATGAGGTGGAAAAACTGCTAACTTATTTTATCAAACGTATTTTTCGTCTACCGGTCAACACGCCAGACTACGCAATTTACCTGGAAACTGGCTTATCAACACTACATATCGGCACTTTAAAATCCCACTTTCAATATATTAACGCTGTTATGAAACACACAGATAGCAGACTTACCAAACGGCTTGCGACATACTTTTTAGGTAGAAGGAGTTCGTATTTTGCGGCATGGTTAAATTTAGCCGAGGAACATGAAGAAAATTTGAATTTAGAGGACATGAATGGTTGGATTGACTGGCAGCAGCGCATTCTTCTAAAACAGGATCAAAGTGATAGAGACCGATTTGTTTATAAGGCCAAAACAAGCTACTCTAGACAAACATACAGAGAACTAACTTACAATCTGGGGAAAATGAATTATTTTAATGATAAATATACTGTGGAAAATATTCGTTCAATTTTCAAATCTCGTACTGAACTCATCAAACTCAATTATTTACCCTACGTAAGTGGTGCACTATCTGTTTGCAGCCTATGTAATAAACAGGAAACGGAAAACGTTAAACACTTTCTCGCAATTTGCCCAATTTTAAAGGAAATAAGATACAAGTATTTTGGGAAAACGACTTTGAGCCAAACAGAATTGCATGGTATCCTTAATGGAATGAACTGGCTAAATTTATGCGCATATCTTAATCAAGCGATAAAATATAGGCAACAAATTATAGATGAGATCTTTTAACCGCACTTATGTATGCACACCAACAATATATACTAATTATAACATCAAACTCACTACAAGATTAGAGGGATTAGAAAAGTAGGCAATCGCTAGGTAAAGCTGACGACATTAGTCATAGCTTTAAGTAAAAAATGTATAAAGTATGGATAATGATTGTATGTTTTTTTTAAATTATTAATAAAGAAGAACTAACTACAGACTCAAATTCTACGTTCTTGTAAATTTTAGCAAAGACTTTCTTCAATCAACAGTTATCCGATTAGGTCTCGTGCGGACGGGGTCGCGTTTTTTCAGTGGTGTGCCAAACCGATTGATTTTACGTTAAGGATATTGCTTTACTAATCGTTCTTTACACCCGCCGAGTTTTTAATTTTTCCCATGTTTTACTACAGTTTTTTTTTCGTCTACAACCAGTATGACAGGCAATAACAATTATTTCAATAAACCTAAATTTTACATTTAGTTCTTTCAAGGCGGGGATGTTCATCCGATGAGTAAGTCCACAAAGTACTTAATGCTTTTTGATATACTTGATCTTCTGTCTGTCTAATTTTTTATAGTCTATATTTCGACTGCATGGGAAACTATGGACTTACTCTTCGAAGGTTTATATATTTAGTAATGGTTGTTTGCTTTCATATTTCTTTAAAGCTTGCAGTTGCAAATTTTATTTCATCGCAACTTTCACTAATGTTCGTTGTGAGCAACACTAAGTCAAGTTTTTTAACACTTGGTTGTCTTTAACCGAACAATTTTCGTTGGTTAACCAATAATTTCATGAAATTTCATTGATAGTTTTTTTTTTACTTACATTCTGCGAGTTAACTATTGATGTACTCGTAAAAGTATTGTACAAACAAATATTTTTAATTTCAAACTACGGTAATTGCATAAAAGAAAAATGGGATATATGAAGTCCGTTGAGTATTAATTAGATTGATGAGGCTTCCGATAAATTAATTTTAGGAAGAATCCTTAGTTGGTGTTTACATAATTGCAATAAAAATTAAAATAAAATTGTTGTTTTTTATTAATTATTTGATCTGCTGTTTAAATATCTAGTGTTAACTTCATTTTTACATAATTTTAACTTTTCTGAGACATGTAATACCTAGGTGTAAAATATAAAAAGGCACAGACAATTTTTTGTGAATCAATTTTTTTTGTGAATCAATTTTTTGGTGAATAGTTGACTATTTATGAGTAAAATACAGTTCAACATTTAAAAAAACAAAAAATCATCATTTTTTGACAAGTAATAAGAATGCAATATGGGTTTGAAGTTAATGCAATTTTTGCGAAACTCAACTTCGCTAAAATTGCAAATATCTCATTGGAGATGGCTGTTCCTGTGGGTGGAATTTCACGAAATTTCTTAACTTTCATTTTGAGTGTCAATATTCTATCTCTTATATATTTTTTGAGGTAATCAAAAGAGCAAAAAAGTTAACGACGTTTGAAGCCAATATTTAGACGTTTCCGGTGAGCTGAAAGCTCCATAAATTTTTATTACTGGTTCAAAAATTATCGATTTTTTATTGTTTAGCTGATTAATATTTTCTGTGTTACCTATTATGACCTTCGTTTTGGACATGGTAAAATGCCAAATATATCGACTGATGGTTAAGCTCTTCATCATTATATTTTCTTCAAAATAGTTTTAAATGATATGCAGTATAAAATGTAAGAACTTATCTCAGTACTTAATTCAATAAAACATTTTTGTATAAACTATACGAACCTATTTGCAAGTTTTATCCATATACGACACATAAGTAAATATATTGAACTATCAATGCTAATCATTGAGTAACGGTTTGGTTACACATTAAATGATCAAGTTTTTGTTTTTGAAAAACTATTGCTGATGATTTATTTTATTAGTTAATTTCCAAATATATTTATAATATTGTACAATAAATTGGTATTAAAAAGTATATAATATTTGTACAAGCAAATCTAATCTGCAAATTAACAACGCTTATGCATGTACTATTTCTTAACTGCGATATGCTAGGGTGAAAAACTGGTAGAATTTTTGAATATATCTCTTAAATCTGATGCTCAGTTTAAAGTCTTAATAAATCAAACTTGGATAAAAATTGTAATTTAGCTACGAAACCATATGCTACTTGTCGACCCTTTAGTTGTATATCTGAGTACGCACAGTTTTTAAAGAATATTTTGTTTTCTAGTGTTTCCCCCGCAAACAATTAAGACATTGAAGCTTACGACATTAGTCAAAATAAAATTTATGGGGTGGTAGCTTGATACTTTGTGTTTAACATATAATACGATTATTACACCCTTCATGTTATTGTGAATAAAGGGTACATGAAGTCGCATGAAATGGTTGTAACACAGTGAAAAGAATGCCAGAGACCATGTAAGTTGCACATATAATATTTCTGATCGGTACGGTAACACGAATCGATTAATCGGTGTCAGTTTTTTGCTTGTCTGTCTACTTGTTTGTCTCTCTGGATGTCAGTAAATTAATACCTCTGAACTAAACTGAACTAAAATTATGCTTAAAAACTTCTAAAACATATATATGTTCACCAGATGTAACGTTAGAAAACATATTTTTATAGTCCACCCAAACAGCAAAAAAATAAAATCCCGGCATTCAATTAACAACTTTTTTTTAATTGACCATCAGTCTATTTGTTCTACCATTCTTAGTTAAGAAGTTATTCTATCAAAAAGCTCTGAACCATTCTCTGCACAATATACGTATTTACGTACCTATACATTGATTATACTTTGCTGACTATTCACAAGGAATAACTTTGATTAACTATGTAGTTTTGGTTACAAAATTATTCAAAAAAAACTATGGGGTGCTGTAACGAAACCTTTTCGCCGAGGTTTTACACGCCGGATTCCAGGTCCAGTCCTACAGTGATTTTGCTACTGAAATGTAGGTTTCTCTGCTGTGAAATCAATGGATTCGTGGTAGAATTGTAAATTTCTGCCACGCCTTGTACGGTTACTAACGAAATGTGTATTTCGTTTGTCCAGGAACGATTTATTGGTGATCGTAAATAGGAATTGTCACTTGGAAATGGTCACTAACGTGAATTTGGTATGGGTGATAATATCTCTGTGTAATTATCACCTTAGCACTTGATCTAAATAAATAAGCAACAGTCGTGTGTTTTTGTTGTATTATTTAATAAAAAGACATGGAAATAGCAATGTAAATTTCTATTCGTAATGCTTCAGCATGTATGTTTGGAGCGATCTGTTTTCTACCTCGTTACCTTGCTGACTGTCCTGAGAATGACTGCTGAAGAAATGTGACTTTCTTCGCAGTATAATTGATCTTGGGTTAGTAATGTGAATTTCTAACGCACTTGAAACTTGCTTTGTTGGAAAAATGTAAATTTCTTCCCCGTGAAATGGATTTGGCGTAGAAATGTTAATTTCTAACGCACCCAACTCAAGAAGTGTGATGCCTACAGTTGTTTTGTTTTTGTAACTGCAACGGTGTTTTTGTTACAAATTGTGTTATTTTTGATGGTGGTTTAATATAATTCTTGTTCTATTATTTTTATTATTGTTTTATTAATATGATTGTTATTTTAGTTATTTTTTGTTTTTTTATTGTTTCATTGTTTTACTATTATTATTGCTATTTGTTGTGGCAGATAATTTGGTAGGTGCCAAATTATCTGTTACAGTCGCAACTTCACGATTACCCTTCAAATATATATAACACCACAGTAAGTAAAATGTAAGTTAATTCATCTTATTGTCAATCATTTGATCACTATTTTCCACCAATAACTTTGATTAACCATTCTCGCAAAAAAAAATTATTCCAACAAATAAGTTCCATGGATCTAATTTCCCTAATATATCCAGTTTCATCAGAGATGCATTCAATAATAATAAGGAATATATTGTATTCTTACAAATTAGGCAGCAAATTACAATATTATCAGGAACTGTATGTTCCTGACACAATTGCTTCTCTAGTGAAACAGTATAATTGGAGAATAAGATTAGGCACTTCAAAGACGGTGGGCTGATTTTCTGTCAGAGTTGGTACGAAATGGCTAGAACGCCTTGCGTTTGTGTATTCAAAAGAGTAATATAGTAAAAATTACTGTGAATGCCAAGCCACAACAAGGTGAGCGGATCTCTCATCATTAGTGAGGCATTATTAATGATTTTTTTGTTGACTTTCCCATTTGTAAGTATTTGCTGACTGGTACTACAAATGTTAAAAAAAAACGGTTTTTCAAAGTCTATAATAGGATCTTTCGTACATATAAATTTTAATCAAACAATAGTCGTCAAACGATGGCAAAAAAAAAGAGTATTCAAAATAATGAATACTCTTTTTTTGTAGGGATAATTTGAATCCCTGCAACTTGTTTTATTAACTATATAACTAGGAATGGTTAAAGAAAGTTATTGATGGTGAATAGTGGTCACATAAATGTGGTCAATGAGAATAGCATAAGAAATCGGATATTATTGGGTTCACATTCTTTAAAGAAAATTCCTCATATGTATCATTTTTGGCACTAATTAGAAAATATTTACTTATGTTGATGCTTCTACGCATCGGGGATATATTTTAATTGAACTCGCTGGAATAAAAGAGTACGTTTTTATAATTCATTATAATCATGCTGTTGTAAAATCATTGAAAGGTAAGTCTTATAATAATCAGATTTGCCTTTGGGCATAATTAAATAAAAAATTTTAGTATAATTTAATAAATCTGTATATGAAAAGTTCAGATTTATTATTTTATTTTTCTCAATTTATAATCACACCCTCTAATTTTTCTTCACCTATACAGTAATAATGTTTTGATCCTATAATTGTAATAAAGATTTTTTTTATGACTTATTTGCGTGGATCCCTACATGTCTCATAATTATGTCTAACGAAATTATGAACCTATAAATGGAATATGTTTAAAATTTATTTAAAAACTATTTGCATATGTGTGCAAGTCTATATATCCAACTCAACTATAA